CAGTTATCTATTTTGGGCATTTGGGTTGATTCCATGTCTTCCCTATTGTAAATAGAGCAGCAATAAACATGGGGTGCAGGTGTCCTTTTGAATCAAAGTTTTTGTATTCTTTATGTATATACCTAGGAGTGGGATTGCTGGGTCATATGAAAGCTCTATTTTTAGCCTTTTGAGAAACCTCCAAACAGCCTTCCACAGTGGTTGTATCAGCTTGCATTCCCACCAGCAGTATATGAGAGTTCTTTTTTCTCCACATCCTTGCCAACATTTGTTGTTGCTAGTTGTTTTAATTTGTGCCATTCTCACTAGTGTGAGATGGTATCTCATTGTGGTTTTAATTTGCATTTCCCTTATTACAAGTGATGGTGAACACTTTTTCATATGCCTGCTGGCCATCTTCATTTCTTCTTTGGATAAGTATCTTTTTAGCTCCTCTGCCCATTTTTTTGATGGGGTTGTTTATTTTTGTTGAGTTTCATTAGCTTTTTGTGTACCTCTGTGATCAGTCCTTTATCATTAGTATTGTGTGCAAATATTTTCTCCCAATCAGTGGGGTGTCTCTTTGTTTTGTGAAGTCTCTCTCTTGCTATACAGAAGCTCTTTAACTTGATGTAGTCCCAGCTGTTTATCCTTTACTTCACTATCGTTGCTTTGGGTAATGTATCTTTAAAGATATTATTGAGGTGTATATCTTACAGCATTTCGCCTACCTTGTCTTCTAGTATTTTATGGTTACAAGTCTTATGTCTAGTTCTTTAATCCACTTCAAGTTGGTTTTTGTACATGGTGCAAGATAGTAGCTTCATTGTTTTGCACGTAGCAGTCCAATTTTCCCAGCACCATTTGCTGAATGAACTTTCTTTGTTCCATTGCATTTTTTTTTTTTTTGCTCCTTTGTCAAAAATTAGCTGTCCATAAACCTGTGGGTTTATATCTGGGTTTTCTAGTCGAATCCATTGGTCTGTATGTCTGTTCTTGGTCCAGTGAAATGCAGTTTTGATTATGATGTCTTTGTAGTATGCTTGCAGTCTGGGATTGTGATGCCTTTGGTCTCTTTCATTTTATTCAGGAGAGTTTGAGGTTTTTGTGGTTCCATATAAATCTCATCAATATTTATTCTATTTCTTTGAAGAATGTCATTGATATTTTTATTGTAATAGCATTCAATCTGTATATCATTTTTGGTTAGAATGGCCATTTTAATGATGTTAATTCTTCCAATCCATGAATAGGGGTTTTCTTTCCATTTCTTTGTGCCTTCTTATATTTTTTAATCAGGGTTTTATAGTTTTCTTTGTGTAGTTCCTTCACCTCTTTTGTTAGGTTTATTCCCAAGTATTTGATTTTTTTGTTTGTTTGTTTCTATTGTAAAGGGGATGGATATTTTGATTTTTACTTCTTCTCATTGGTTGTTTGTGTGTAGGAAGGCTACTGACTTTTGTGTGTTGATTTTATAATCTGCAACCTTACTAAATTGGTTAATTGTTTTAATTGTTTTTTCTATGGCATTCATAGGGTTCTCTATGTATATTATTATATTGTCTGCGAATAAAGATACTTTTACTTCTTTCCCTATTTGTATACCTTGTATGTCTTTTTCCTGTCTTCTAACATGGGCTAGGACTTCCCATGTTATGTTGCAGAGCAGTGGCAATGGTGGACATCCTTGTCTTGCTCCTGATCTCAAAAGAAAGGCTTTCAGCTTTTCTACAATGAGGATAATATTGGCTGTGGGTTTGTCACATATGGATTTTATCATGTTGAGGTATGTTCCTTCTATTCCAATGATTTTGAAGGACATAAACAAAAATGGATGTTGTCTTTTGTCGAATGCCTTCTCTGCATCTGTTGATATAATTATATGAATTTTATTTTTTGTCAGTTGGTGTGATGGATTATGTTAATTGATTTTTGAACGTTGAACCATCTTTGTGACCCTGGAATAAAAGCCACTTGGTGAATTATTTTTTGAATGCATTATTGGATTCTGTTGGTTAAGATTTTATTGAGGATTTTTACATCAGTGTTTATTAGGGAGATTGGTCTGAAGTTTTCTATTTTTGCGTTGTCTTTGTTAAGTTTTGGTATCAGTGTGATGTTGGCTTCATAGAAATTATATGGTAGCTTTCCTTCTTTCTCAATTTTTGGAATGAGTTTGTGTACGATAGGCACTAGTTTGTTTCTGAACTTTGGGTAAAATTCATTTGTAAATCCATCTAGTCCAGGGCTTTTATTCTTGGGGAGGGTTTTATTTACTGCTTCAGTTTCACTGCTTGTAATTGACCTGTTTGTTTGTTCTATTTCTTCTTTATCTAGCTTGGAGTGATTGTAGAGTTGTAGGAATTTGTCAATCTCTTCTAGATTGTTGAACTTGTTTGCATATAGCTGTTCATATTATTCTCTGGTTATTCTTCTGATTTCTGCTATATCTGTTGTGATTTCACCTCTTTCATTGATGATCCTGTTTGTGCTTTCTCCTGTTCTTTCTTTGTGAGCCTGTCTAGGTGTTTGTCTATATAGTTTTCTCTTTCAAAGAGCCAACTTTTGGTTTCATTGATTTTTTTGGATTGTTTTCCTGACTACCATTTCATTTATTTCCTCTTTTACATCTATTACTTACTGTCTTCTACTGGTTTTTGGGTTATTTTGTTGTTCATTTTCCAGTTCTTTAAGGTGGGAGAGTTCATATTGCTAAATATATTCCATATATATATATATATATATATATATATAAAACTGCTTTTAATATGTCCCATAGTTTTGTAGAGTTGGTCCTCATTGCCATTCTTCTCAAGGTACTTTTTAATTTTTTTCTTGGTTTCCTCATCAATGCAATAGTCCTCCAGTAGTGTGGGTAGTGTGGGTTTCAATCTCCACAAGTAGGTTGGTTTCTTGCCTTCTTTACATAGTTAATTTCTATTTTGATTCCTTCATGGTCAGAGAATATAGTTGGTATGATTTCAATTTTAGTGTATTTATTCCTATTTGACTTTTGTTCCAGTATGTGGTCAATCCTTGAGAATGATCCATGTGAATTTGAGAAATATGTGTACTCAGATTTTTTTGGATGTAGTGTTCTATAGATGTCTGTTAAGCCCAAGAATTCTAGGCCCTTGTTCAAAGCTTTAGTGTCCTTGCTTAATTTTTGTCTTGTTGATCTGTCCATTGTTGAGAGTGACATATTTAAGTCTCCTACTACATATGTGTTTTCTCTTATATACATTTTCATAGATGACAATAGTTTCCTTAGATATTTTGGTGATCCTTTATTTGGTGCATATATGTTGAGTGTTCTATCTTCTTCCCGTGTTGTCTCTGTAATCATTATGTAGTGGCCATTTGTGTCCCTTTGACCATTTTTTTTTTTGAAGTCTATCTTATTTTATATAAAAATAACTGTTCCTGCTTTCTTTTTTGGTCCATTTGCTTATAGGATTGTTTTCCATCCTTTACTTTCAATCTTTTTTTATCTTTTGTGATTAGATCTGTTTCCTGGAGGCAATAGAATGTTGGGTTCTGTTTTTCAACCCAGCCACTCTGTGTCTCTTTACTGCTGAGTTTAAACCATTTACATTTAAAATTAATATCGATACATTGGAACCTACATTTGCCATTTTGTTTTTCCTTTAGTGTTTTAATGCCTTGTTTTGATCTGTTCATATTCTGGTTTTGGCTTAAGGACTTGTAGTATTTTTTGGAGTGGGGGTTTAGTCTTGACAAAATTTTGGAGTTTCTGTTTGTCTGGAAATGTCCTTATTCTTTCTTCCTAGAGGAAGGAGATCTTTGCAGGATGTATTCTTGGTTGGCATTTGATGTCTTAGAGTTTGTTGACTATGTCCCTCCACACTCTTCTTGCCCTTAGTGTTTCTGAACTGTTGAGAAGTCTGGTGTCAGCCTGATTGGTTTTCCTTTGTAAGTTGCTAGTTTCTTCCCTCTTGTCATTCTCATTATTTTTCCCTTGTCCTGGATTCTTGGGAGCTTTACTATTATGTGTTTTGCTGTATTTCTCCTTTCATCATGGTAGTTTGGCAGGGCCACCCCCTGCCGTTTTCAGCTAATGGCAGGAGCTAAGTGCAGGCTGTCTCACCCCTTAGGGCTGTTTGGTAATGTTCTGGGGAGGGCACAGATTTCCTCTTTTAGTCAAAGACCCCACTGTTTCAGAACTTTTGGTCATTCTCTGCTGCTTTCAGCTAATGGTTGGAGCTGGACACAGGCTGTTGCCCCTCTCTTGGCTAGTAAGCCCCCTGGGAGTAGAAAGCACAGATTTCCACTTTCAGGGTAAAGCCCAGGGGCATAAAAGCGCTAGGTGCCCTGTTCTCAGCAGAGAACAGTCTATTTCAGTAACAGGGGTGAGCCCTGTCCAGGGATGATGCTAAGTGTTGTTCGCTGGGTGTCACTCCCTCCCTGGCTTTCCCTATCTTGGAATCACTGCTCAAGGTGGGAGGACTACCATCATGCCTCCAGCTGTGTCAGGGGCTGGGTGTTCCCCGGGAGTTGGGGGTTGGAGCCAGAACCCTGCCCTACCCCCAGTAGTGGCAAGAAGGATGATTCTTATCCTTCCCACTGGTCTCACCCCCATGGATCTGCAGCAGTCCTGCTCTCCTCCATGCAAATCAACCCACTGACCTTTGTTGTCCTTTTGGGGATTTCAGGTGTTTCAGCTTTCCCAGTTGCTTTTTCTTGTTTTTGTTTGTTTGTTTGATTGATTGATTGATTGGTTTTTTCTCATCCTTTTCTTTCCTTGGTTTAGCACTTCTGGGTTTGTAGGTGGGGGAGGGAGGGTGGTCGAGGTCAGTGGAAATATCTGTCTCGCTTCTTCTTTCATGGTGTTTAACTTCCTCCTGTTTCCCCTGAGTCGTCAATCCTGTGCCTATCATCTGAATTTTTACTGGATTTTGCTTAGCTTCCCCCCTATTTACTATATCCAAGAGTGAGCTTAATCTCAGTGACTCTTCATGGCCATGTTGGTGACATCACTCTCAATATTTTTTTTCTTTCAGGCTAAAGAAGCAGTGACAGAAGCTGAACGACATGATCCTGAAAATATTTTCACTCAATTTTATATTTTCAAGATTGCAGTCTTAGAGGGAAACTCTGACAGAGGTACAAATGTTAACGATGAGTTTAATATTTGATTCTTAACTCAAATAATAAACAAACATGTCTGGACATGATAGAAAAAAGCATTGCTTTTAAAATAATGGAGATGACTATATATGTTCTAACTTTCTTATGTGAAGATGATACAATCATATGAAAAGGTAACTATTGTAAGGTGCATAAGAATAAGCAAACAGGAACTACTTAGGGAGATAGTAGAACCTAGGTAGATTTGGGACAAGAATTGGTAGGAAAGTCTTGTCAGTGTATATCCTGTTTTGTACTTTCTATTATTTGAACCAACCTATTAAAAATTAAGTTTAAAAATCTGGGGCACAAGGAGAGATTATATTGTAGACCCTTATTAATTGAGAACTATCTTTAAATGAGGATGTAAGAAAAATGAACCTTCTTAAACTGTTGGTGGAAATTCCAGCCATTATAGAAAACAATATAGAAGCTTCTCAAAATAGTAAAAATTGGGCCCTCCCTGGTGGTTCAGCAGGTTAAAGCATAGCACTGAGAAGCTAAAAAGCCATTTCAGCATGAGTTTGATTCCTGTCCAGGGAGGTGATCCACATGGTGCGGGAGACATCTCCTGACCCGCCCACTACTCCCCTCAGCAGTGTACCTCATTAGTTGGCCTCTTCTGCTCCCCACTCTGTCTCTGGTAAATCCTCTCACCGCCCCTGCACCTCTGGCCTGTATCCCAGCTCTGTATGCATAAATAAATAAATCTTTTTAACAAATAGTAAAAATCGGTCTTCCATAAGATCTAGCAATTCTACTCCTATATATCTACAAAAAGAATACAATAGCACTAATTTAAAGGGATATATATGTCTCCTATGTTCATAGCAGCACTATTTACAGTAGCCAAGCTATGGAAACAACCTAACTGCTTCAAAAGTAGTAACATTTATTCTTCACTGAAGAAGAAATGTTCCAACTAGTAAAGTACATGTTTATATTAACTAGGGAGTAGCAAATTGGAATCATATTTTTATCAAAGTTAATATTGCTATCATATTCAAAATCAGTGTTCTCATTAGAGAGGTCTCATTATAGGAACATGTGGTACATATACACAATGGTATACTACACAGCTATTAAATGAGACAAACTCATCATTTGCAACAATTTGGATGAAATTGGAGGGGATTTTACTAGGTAAAATAAGTCAGAAGAAAGACAAGTACTAGATGGTATCACTTCTACATAGAAAAAGAGAAATAAAACACAGTAGCAGATAAAGCCAAACTCATAACAAATTCTAGAAATCTGACTGTAAACTGTAGTTAGCAAGGAGAGATAGGAAGGGGTAAGAACAAAGAGCAAACAATATGGCTTATGCCAGTAGACGGTGGGTACTTTCATTGTGTGTAAGGTGTGGTAATAATACCTGCAGGGAAGATCCTCTACTTCTAAAATTTAAACAACATTGTAACATAAATTTACCTCAATTTAAAAAATCAATTATCTTTAGAGGATAGGGTACTTTTTTAACTTCTGACCTATTTTCAAGAGATGATATGTGAAAGATTGAGCCTTTAATGGAGTTTCTGTTACAAAGTTGATAGTGTTGGAATTGCTCTCATGGACCTCATGCTGTTACTACTGTGTTCTTTCTGTTAAATTAAGCATAGTTTATAACTGGTGTATCTGCGCACACACACACACACACACACACACACGTATCTTAATTTGATTACAGCATATCCCTATAACATTATTTTCATCAGCTGTTAGGGAAGCTAAGCAAGTTCTGAGAGCCATTTGAACTCTAGGCCGATTGCCCTTTGTGAAGGGCACAAGTTGAGAAATTGAGAATCTTAAATTAATATATCTAAACAGAATTTGTACTAATATAATTAATCAAGTATGAATGTCTTCTGTGTGCAACGGACTTTTTATTCATTCCATAGAGAAATAAAATTTATTCTGCACTGAAAATAAATGCTCCAAGTAGTAAAGTACATGCTTATATTAATTAAGAAGTAGCAAATAGGAATCAACTTTTCATCAAGGTTAATATTGTCATCAGATCCATCATCAGTGTTCTCATTAGAGATTCCTGGGCATTTAGTTTATGGGATATATTATGTTGAAGGATAAAAGAACTTGAAACTTTTTGCTAGAACAAATGGAAAGTTAGTTTCCTATTAACCTTTTCTGTTAATAGTCTATTATAATTTACTTTACATTCTAAATATAGCAACAATCTTTTTATTTCTTCCTCAGTTATCTGTAAGCAGTTTTTAAAGTCATGTTTACAATAAAATTTTTATTGCTCGTGTGTGATTTTTATGAGGTTTATTTCTATGAATAATTCTGTGAGTTTTGACAAATGCATACTTAGGTAACAACCACCACAAAAAACCTGTAGAAAAATATTACTCTACCTTTGGACCTTTTAATATCACTCAATCCTACCACTTCTAGTCATAGAGACCCTAGAAACTCTTTTCAGTTGCTTGTATTTTTTCTTTTCCAGAATATCACATAAATGAAGTCAGACAGTATTAAGTTTTTTGAGCCAAAGCAATCATGGAAACAAGAAATGTGATAGTAAACTAAATCATGGTATCACATATCTAGACTTCAAACTATACTATAAAGCACTGGTGCTGGAATAAAAAAAAAGTCTTGAAATCATAAAGTATATATTAGAAAACATAAGTTAAACATGCTAATACATAAATCTAAAGGTATCTTAAATGAGTCATCCTCAGCAGCAAGAAAAACAAAATAGAATATAAGCAATTGGGATTACATCAAGCTAAAAGCTGCACAGCGAAAGAGACCAAAACTTAAGTGAAGACATACCCTACTGAATGGGAGAAAATATTTGCACACTATATATCTAACAAGGGACTTATAATCAAAATCTATGAAGAACACATACAACTCAACAGAAAGAATACAAATAATCCAAACAAAAAATGTACAGAAGAGCTAAATAGGCACTTCTCTAAAGAAGACATGTAGATGAACAACAGGGACATAAAGAAATGTTCATCATCATTACCATCATAGAAATGCAAAGCAAAACCAGTGAAATACCACCTGACAACTTAGAGTGGCCCATATCAAAAAGACCAGAAGCAAATGATGATGAGGGTGTGGAGAAAAAGATAACTGTCATACATTGTTGGTATACTGATCCAGTCCCTACAGAAAACAGTGTGGAAATTTTTCAAAAGACTAAAAATCAATTTATCATATGACCCAGCAACTCCTAGATATCTAGAAATCTTAGGTATTTATCCCCAAAGTACAAAAATACTTAATTGAAAGGAAAACTGCACTCATGTTTTTTGCATCATATGGAAACATATATGTTCTAAAAATAGACAGGTGGATCAAGAAGATGTGATATATATTCACAATCAAATGCTATTCAGAAATCAAAAGAAGATAAATTCATGCCATTTGTAGCAACATAAATAAAACTGGAAGGGCTTATACTAAGTGAAATCTAGCCAGAAGGAAAAAGATAAATAACGACTGGTGTCATGCATAAATGAAAAATAGAGTCAAAGACAAACATTAAGACCAACCTTTGAAAACTGTCAGTCTTTGTCTTTCAGAGGGGTAGGGAAAGGTATAAAAACAAAGGGGAACTTAAGAACTATGTTGAAGGTTTATGGGTGCTTCTCTGGTGAAATTGTTATGGTGACTACACCTGAATAGGGGTATCCTACACTGGATGTACAATAATGTTGAGGCAAACGTGGCAGCTAATACACTATGAAAACACCCTGGATGTAAAATAATGTACTTCAATAAAAGCAGCAAACATATTGACCCCTGTATATCTTAAAAAAAGATACAATACCGGGGACTTCCGGAAGATGGCGGCAGGGTAAAGACGCTGAGATAACTGCTTCCAGGCTTGCATTGGAATTGAGGACTGAAAACGGACTATAGACTTACTTACTGCAAGTTTCAACCCAAATGAAAACACCCTGGACTCACTAGAAGGTAGATAACTGAGGGGGAATGGGCAATTGGGGAGTTCCCTTCTGGCAACTCCCAGGAAAACCCAGGCGACTGGAAGTTCGGTGGGCTGCAGGAGCCGCTTTCCCCCACGCTAAACCCTGGAGGTGAAGAGGAACAGCTCAGCTCAGTGAGTGGAGCCCAGGTTGCGGAAAGACTGCAAATCTGATCTTCAATACCAGGTTGAGGGGAAAACCGCTGAAACTGCAAACATGGTCTAGAGCACCTGGGCGCTGCACAAAGCCACTGATCAGCTCGACCAGCTCGGGAACCAGAAAGATGGCGGCAGAATAAAGACGCCGAGACGACTACATCCAAACACACAGGATTATATAAAAACGGACTATAGACTTTCATACTACCAGTTTCATCCCAAATGAGAACGCCCTGGACTCACTAGAAGGAAAATAACTGAGGGAGAACCGGCGATTGGGGAGTTCCCATAAGGGAAGCCCACGGGCAGGATTAGCTGAACCCTGCAACTCTGATTGGGGAACGCCAGCGGTTTCCAACTTGCTCGGCTCCTTTAAAAATCTAGGCGCC